GGTCCACCATACTGACTAAATTCATGTTTCTGGTCCACCATACTGGCTACAATTCACGTTTCTGGTCCACCATACTGGCTACAATTCACGTTTCTGGTTCAGCATACTGACTAAATTCATGTTTCTGGTCCACCATACTGACTAAATTCATGTTTCTGGTCCACCATACTGACTAAATTCATGTTTCTGGTCCACCATACTGGCTACAATTCACGTTTCTGGTTCAGCATACTGGCTACAATTCACGTTTCTGGTCCACCATACTGGCTACTATTCATGTTTCTGGTCCACCATACTGGCTACAATTCACATTTCTGGTCCACCATACTGGCTACAATTCACGTTTCTGGTCCACCATACTGGCTACAATTCACGTTTCTGGTTCAGCATACTAACTAAATTCATGTTTCTGGTCCACCATACTGACTAAATTCATGTTTCTGGTCCACCATACTGACTAAATTCATGTTTCTGGTCCACCATACTGGCTACAATTCACGTTTCTGGTTCAGCATACTGACTAAATTCATGTTTCTGGTCCACCATACTGGCTACAATTCATGTTTCTGGCCCACCATACTGGCTACAATTCACGTTTCTGGTTCAGCATACTGACTAAATTCATGTTTCTGGCCCACCATACTGGCTACAATTCACGTTTCTGGTCCACCATACTGGCTACAATTCACGTTTCTGGTCCACCATACTGGCTACAATTCACGTTTCTGGTCCACCATACTGGCTACAATTCACGTTTCTGGTCCACCATACTGGCTACAATTCATGTTTTTGGTCCACCATACTGACTTTACTGTTTTTATTACAGGTCATAGAAGTTCAGATCTTACCACAGGATGATAATTGGGGTGAAAACACAACTGTCATTACAGGTGCTACCTCTGAATACAGCGTATCTAATGAAGACTTGTCCCAATTCACCAAAGATATGGAAGCAAGTGTTGGATTTGATTGTAGTCGATATATTGGTGGAATAGTTGGATTGTTGTTAGGACTTGTTGCAGTTTTAACGCCGATCGCATTTCTCGTAATTCCGTTATTCCTCTGGGAGTTTGATGAATCTGTGTCTGATAAATGTAACGTCGTGTGTCAGGGTCTTCTCATTAGTTTTTCTTTTAAATTGGTTATTTTGCTGATTGGTAGCATCGCACTGTTCTTCAGAAAACCCAAAGCTACATTACCTCGTGTATTCTGGCTACGGGCCCTTGTCATGTTACTCATTGTCGTCTTCATCATCTCTTACTGGCTGTTCTATGGTTTTCGTATAATTGACGCACCAGCCGAGCTCAAATTTGACAATGACTATGAGAGTGTAGTTGCGTATTCATTATCGTTGGTGGATGCATTGCTCTTTATCCACTACTTGGCGATTGTTTTGTTAGAGATTCGACAAATGACAACTCAGTTCACCCTCAAAGTTATACGAACAAATGACGGAGAAAGTCGCTTTTATAACATTGGGGAGTTAAGTATTCAGCGTGCTGCAGCATGGGTTTTGGAACAGTACTATCGTGATTTCCATGTATATAACCCATATCTTCAACATTTGCCGTCATCACGCGCAAAGCAGCTGTCAAGCTTCAAATTCTATGATGTTGATGGTGGAATGAATACCACTGTAACCGGGAGATCACGTGCCATCCTTGCTGCTAATGCTAGGAGACGTGATGCTGGCCATAATGATAGATTTTATGAAGAGCAAGAGTATGAGCGACGTGTAAAGAAACGCAAGGCACGTTTGGTGGTGGCAGCGGAGGAATCCTTCACTCACATCAAACGTATGAATGAAGAGCATGGTCCGTCAAATCCTATGGATCCTTATGAGGCAGCGCAAGCAATCTTCCCATCCATGGCAAGAGCGTTACAAAAATATCTACGTATAACTCGTCAGCAACCACGCTGGACGATGGAATCTGTTCTAAATCACCTTGCAACATGCATTGGTCACAATTTTACTCCAAAGGCATTTCTTGAACAATTCTTTAATCCCGGTCCTCCAATCCTGGAACACATAAGGGAGGGACGTAATTCGCAACCATGGGAACTAATATGCGATCAGATGGCGAATTGGCCGTTGAAAGCCGATACAACCTTCTTACTGCGTCAAGGCGATGTCTCATTGCTTGTTTATGTCATGCATATTCCACATTTTCAGATGAGTGAAGAAGCATTTGATCACAAAAACAACAAATTTGTTCTTCGTCTCCAATCTGAGACCTCTGTGTAGATTTCTGGAGGATTCAGTGGATTCAAGTTAAAAAAGAAAGATGTATTTGTCTAGTTTGTAAAGTACGGCATGTAATCAGCAGTTACCGTAGTAATCAGTACTTCAATGGTTACTATTTATGTAAAAATGTAAGTTTTATTTTATATTTTGTGAACTTTATCGTCAATTGTGCTAACCTTCATTTTAGTGCATTGACCAAGAACAGTGTAATATTATAGTTGGTGTTATCTAGTGTAGCTCTTGTTAGTTTCCTGTTCAGATTGATGTCAATGGTATTGCTGATTGAATTGTTCAGTCTTTCTAGATTAATATGGTTAATGTTTTATTAACATTAATCAGTTATTATCTGTATATCACTGTTAGAGTTACTGCATCGTATCTGTATTTAATACTTGGACCAATGTAGCATGTAGTGTGTGTTCCACTGAAATAGACGAGTTGGCATCTGTGATGTAATGCAGTTATTATGTGGCATATTGAGTACTAAACTGGCATATTGCCAAATACTTGATGAGTGATGAAGGACTAATAGGGACAATTCCATAAAATATAAACCAATTATACTCCTTATATTATCAATATACTTTAAATATTGTTTTATTTTGTAAGAAAATACTTTTTTATTGTACATTTAGTACACATTGCAAGGACTTCCATGCATTTTGTATTGAGTTGAGCTCAAATTTTTAGAGCCTTTTGAGAAGATTTTTTATCCTACCCAAACCTCATATTTAATGCAAAGTAAATTTCATTTCATTTTGGGGAACCTTTGAGAAAAGAAAGAACCAACAAACATAAGTACATTAATGGTTTGTAACTTGTATGTACCGTAATCAATTCGCATTTCAATATTGTATACAATTTGCTGTTCTTTGTCTCCTATATTCATCTCTGCACATTCGAACTGTACAGGCCGAAATATTGACCCATGCACTGTCAAGGCACAAAAAAATTTTGTAAAATATGTGGTAAACAAGTGGATAAATGTTTGTCGTATTAGATTATTTAATATCTTAATTTTGAGAATTTGTTTAATACAGGCTAGATAAATATTGAAATATTGCCCACAGATAGGTTAAAATAATGTTTCAGTAGATAGGTAAATATTCACAAGGTGTTGAATATTGAAATAGTTTGACATTGGGATAATAACTTGTGAGTTGAATATTAATGAGGTTAATAATTCAATATTCACCTGGTTATGTATGTTAACTCCTAACATTACAGTAGAACATTTTCAGGGTCAATAATAGAATAGAATTACCTGTACTCATTATAAATCTTTAAAACTTATTTTTAATGTCACTTTTCTGCTTAATGTGTATCTTCTGTAAATTTAAAAATTGGTGTGAAACTGGAATCAATTGATGCCTAATGTTACCCTTAATTTGATTTTTTAATTTATCACAGATAGTTGGTTAAATAGGCATACTGAAAGACTTCAATCTTTGGTCGAATCTTCATCTTGTAAGTTGCAATGTTGGTGCAGAGAAAGCCACAAAATGGGCTCTTTAGACAAAAGAACTTTTGCCTTGTTAGAAGTTTTGCTACTCTTTTGCCATTCTCTCTGGTGAAGTGACATCCACAGTTTTGTTGGAGTATGCAAGAAAGCAACCCTCCCCCTCCCCATTGTCAATTAAAATCACCCAATTTAAATTTCTGCCTTCAATTGTAATTTTAATAACGTTTTTGTGAAGTTCATCAAGCCTTTCAAGCAATTTATTTTTCTGTCTTTTTATTATTGCAACTTTGTACAGTATTAGATTCTTACAGATTAATAAATGTTACCGACATACATGTATTCCGTTTTTGTTTATTGATTTTTGATTGACTGTATTAGGTTCTTTTATTCAAAGCTGTCAACATAGGTTGGTAGAGCAATATGGAAGATCCGGTACTCTCACCTGCAGTGTATCCTGTGGCCTTAGGGACGACGTCAAAAGATCGATGTCGGATAAAAAAATTATTTCCTTTATTTTGGG